CTGATGGGCGTGAACCCATGTTTATGCTTCTTGGCCAGCGTGCCGCGCAGTGGAACTAGAGGGGCCATTTGTCCGGTTTGCTTTTTTCTTTTACTATTTTCTATTTACCTGTAAGTCTCAGTTCGATCAGGCCTGCACACCCTTGCCAGAAGTAGACGAACTTTATGATACTGCATAGCTTCACAGCAATTCGCAATTCTCCACAGGATGCATCGCCAATGATCGTTAGGGCCCAGCGAACTGCCCCCAGCGATTTCACTCACCGCGCTGTACAAGTCTGGGTGAGTACCATTCAGTTCCCCCCCCCCTCCACCAAGCCCAACTGTGCCCAAATTTTTACCACCAACTGAAACCTGGCGAATCTCCGCAATCGTTAACCTCTTGACCTTGTTTTACCTCATTATTCACACCATTTCACTAATTCCCTTTACGATTCGCATCTCACGTCCCAATGCGGATAATCCATTCGAGAGGTTCCACCTTGAGTGGCCAAATCCATTCAGTTTAATCTCAACCCCCCCCCCCCTCCATGCATCTCTCACTTCTCCAGATACTTTCGGCAACAACGCTAAGCTCTTTGCCCTTTTCTTTTTCATTTCAATTTCCTTACTCCATCCCTCCAGCCAAGGTAAACGTATGTCAATAGGCACGTCATGCCCTTGGGAAAATTCCTGCAAAATATGACCCCCTTCCACATCCTTCATCCTGCCTACTATCTCTTCCTAAATATTCCCAACTTCACACTACTTTTCCGGTGTCCCAAAATTCTCCTGTTTTTCCACGAAAAAATGGGGGGGGGTTGGAGAGGGCATACACCGTACTTCAAGCAAGTGAAACTGAGAAGATTCAACAACGGAAAGCTTCCCTAAGTCAAATACGACCGCCCTGCCTTCTGTGACCAAACGCGCTCCCCCGCCTCCCCTCCCGATAGGGATCCCCGACGAACAATGTGCCCTGACATTGAATCTTTATGAAATGCCCCTACGATTTTGGACAGATGTGTTGCGCCCAGAGGGGTTAAATATTACCCTGCGTTATATGATTTCCGCTTACTGTGCCCCTGTCATTAGCTTTTTCATCAGCGATTCACCTGCTTTGTCTGAACTCAGCGGATGAGAGACCTGTAGTCCTACTTGATTGTCTTCTCTCCGTAATCTTCCGGCTAATTACCCTAATTACATTTGGTAACGTGGTATTTGTGCCCCGGATGAAGTGTCCGTCTCGGTTTACATAGGGTTAGGGAGCCTCCGTAGTAAGGGTATCATATTCTCCTGAGTGCCCACTGACCATTTCCGGCCACCCAGTCCTAGTCGATTTTTCATTGACAGCTGCTGTCGTTGTCGCATTTCTTTGTTCCGAACAGGTCAACCGTCACTGTGGCGACAGGCTTTTTTGCGGAGTTTGAAATACCTCACGGAGTTCTCGAATGGGACGAAACCTAAAGTTTCTTGAATCCGTTTTCGTAACCTCTTCTTGAAGTATTCTCTATATTGAAGTTGCTATTTAGTAACATTAGTAACATTTTGTAGAGTTTTTTGTAGAGGACCCTGTAGATATCTCCTCAAAATTCCCCTGCAGTTTCTATTATAATAAAAATTTGTGCGACAGTTCCATAAACTTGCTGCAAGTGAGAGTGGAGGTTTTATATGACAAAGGTTAACGAGCTGTGGTTTGACAGCTTGTCTTTGAATTTTACAAGGATTCCCGTTTTTCAGTTTTTTTTTGTTTTTTTTTTCATTTGAGCGTTGCATAGAAAATTTTTCCACTTGGAAATTCTTCAATCTATCGACCTTGTCCGATCAATGCTTCCTCAGAAGCGATTCAGTCACGTCTCAGAATCTCGTGCATACGATTTTCGGCCAATACTGTTGATTCAAAAGATTTTCATCAGGCTGATCGCCAATCAAAACTTTTTCACGGCTTGCTGCGGCCATCTGCTCCATCATCTGCTCTGAAAATAAAATTGATTTTTGAATATTTTAGGCGAATCTGTACCAGAAATGATCAACAAGAAGTTGTCGTTGTACGCCGAATTCTCCGAATTTTCTCGAAAACAAATCAAGTTCTTCACTGAAACGTTCAGGAAGTAAGTTCCTTAGGCTAATACTACTTATATTTGCGATTCGAATTTTGCCTTCAGTTTTCTGTTTTCTTTGTTTATACTTTATTGGTTTGGTCACAAATACTTCACACTATTCACCCGCTGATGCCCTTTCCTTCCAGATAAAGCTTGATCGGAGTTTATCCTCGAAGTAGATTCTAGAAATTTGAAGCAGATACGAGGAGGCATTTTCTCTGGAAGAAAGAAGTGCGAAATGCCCCTTCCCCTATGCCGAACAGCGCAGAAAATGCTATGTGACTGCGCTTAAGCATACAGAGAGCCGAATTCATTGAGCACTCGTTCCGAAGATATTAGGTTGGCGGGAAAGTTCTGTCATACTTTTTTGAACCCAAGTATTTGCCTATTACCTGAAGAGGGTAACCGGTAATGTGAGCAGTTATACATCAAGGATTGGTCTTTCTATTAGTATCACTGGCTCGACTCCTGCTTCTCCTTATTCTGTAATATGGCAAGATGTTATCCGCTACCTTCGGCACGACCCCTTCAAGCGCTTCCTTCAACTCTTTCTTCTACCACCCTGGCGCCAGCATGACAGCTGTCGACGCCGAAATAATGGAGCTGCACAAGGACAATGTCTCCAATTATCAGACGATCTTCCACGACGGTAGCGCTCCAGAGCGGAGAACGTTTGAATGACGAAGTGAAGTTTGGGAGTACTGTGACTCAGTTAGATAGCTCACCAGCTCGATCCACTCTGTGGGTCGGGAAACCACTGGATTAGGAAGCTGCCTCCTCGATCAATCCATATGCAAGGCAGCTACCAAATCTGAAGCGCATCGTTAAGCAGAGGGCAAAATCCATCGGCACAGTCCGTCTTCAACGTGCTGGTGCAGCACACCCGTCAAAAAAAGTTCGAGCCGTACTTCATGCAGTAGAGCTGGATGGCTCTCCCTTGCACCGGTGTAGTTCCAGACATGTCTTTCTGACTAGTATTCGCCTCCGTATCAATCGTTATAAGACTGAGAAATTCCTCCACAGAATTGAGCCCAAGTCCAAAGTGAGCCATATGGTCACTTTCGTTCGCGCCGGCGTGCATCGTGAAGCGAGTTGCATCACGAACGTGCGCCAAAATTTGCAAGGATTCGCAATAGCATTGCTCATATAATTTTGTCTGTAGGCCTCTCTGTAAAAATAACGTCTATTTAAAAAAACTGTGACAGAACTTCCCGCACCAATAGTTTTACACTCTGCGTCACGCTCTAGGCATTCGTTGGCGCCCACCACTCACCTCACCATAGATAGATCTCCAAAATAAATTTGTTTGTAGAATTTCTTTCTCGAAAGTGTACAGTAACATTTTTGATGCAAATTGATTGCCCTATTCAAAACATGTGTTCCAGTAATCCCTCACTAGTGAAATATTCTCTCCACAACTACTTTTTTTCCAAAAATCTAAAAAATACAGTAATCATGATGCTCACATTGACAAAAAAGAGCGCAAGTAAAAAGTGACTTTTCATTCAATTTTGTGTTTATTTCCAGATACGATGAAGATGCCGATGGCTTCATCGATTTTGATGAGTTGAAGCGGATGATGGAAAAGCTTGGTGAAGCCCAAACACATATCGCGCTGAAAGAAATCATCAGACAGGTAATCGCTCAAGCATTGAAGGCAATGTCTGCACTGATCGCATAGGCGGAGTCAGTGTGCCGTTCTTTTGACCGTCGTGGAGCCCTCCAATGAGAAAGGTGCAATTTTGGTTGGGCTGCGCCCAAGCGATCGGCCTGATCTGCGCTTCCAAAGTTCCTGGTTCACAATCCAACCAGAGACTGCAGCTGACCGCGGGCTCACGGAATCCTGTAGATGTATCTTCGGACCCTATCGCCTAAATGTTCAAATTCTTGCCTTCCATTAGGAGGTTCAGCAAATGGTTGTTGGATTGGTTGTCAGGCTGTAAAGACTCGATTACAATATTTCACAGTAACATTTGGAAAATCAGTGGTCCATAGTGCATGGCGCTTCCCTCAGGCACAGCTAACAATGAACATCTTTGTTTTATTCTCTTCCGATCTGGGTTCGGGTTATATTTAATCCCTACAGTTTTTTATTGAACTTATGAATCGA